GAAAGAGATGTTGCAGTGCAGGTATCATTGCAAAGGTAGACAGATGAGCAGAAGCTTGGAAGCAACCACAGAGAAGAGTTTGCCAATTCTGATGTCCTTTGCTGCAGTGATGTCCTGGAGCATGGGGCATCCACCCCAGTCAAGAGGCATATGCTCCTGTCCCAGCCCTGGGGTGAGCAGCTCTACCAGCCCATGCCCATGGGAATGCTGGCTGCCTCAGAGTCACCAGCTCAAGGGAGAATTGTCCTTTCCAAGGACTACCAGTGGGATCAGCTGATGAGCTGCTGGGTTATTCAGCTCCTGCTCAATCCACACCCCAGGGATGACACTCAGACTGTTCTTCCCAAAAGCAGCCTGTTCGTGGCATGCCATTTCTGGCAGACCTGAGGAGTTTCTCGGAGCTGGGATTGGAACTCGGCAGTTCTTCAGGGTTAAATTTTGCTGGCTGGACCAAGGTCACCACTATCTAGAGCATCAGTAAGTTGGACTGCTCTCCCCTTCCTCCATACTTGAAGCATGTCCGTCACAGTTGTTTATACAGGCCTCCCTTCTCCTATTTATGCAGCCTTTTTCTGAAACCTCTCATCACGAGGTCTCCAGGCCTCAAAAGTGCTGACATGATGAACATGCCTTTCTACAAGTCCTGCTAGAACTGCTCACATTTGCCAACACCCTTTTCCTGCTGCTTCCAACATTATTAACCCTACTAAAAATGTATAAATCATAACATAAGAGCTAGTCAGGGTGTTACGCAGATTGCTGGACTTGCTACAGAAAGCACTGGGTGAAGTTCGCTGGCCTCTGTTGTGCTGGATGTCAGACAACACGGCTGAATAATCCCTCTAGGCTTTCAAATCTGCGGCTCTTCCAGTTTTCCACTTGCAGGCATGGCTGCCTCATCCGCCAAACAAGCTGCATCATTTTCCAACTCCCCCTTCTTCAGCTATGCAGTTCCTCGGTTCCTCCACCACACTGAGCAAGCTGCGCTCTCTTCCAAGGCAGCGCACGTCCCCGCCTGCCTCCCCGAGCCCCGGAGGGCTCTTTGCCTGCCACGCTCCAGCAGCCGAGTTCTCAGGGTCCCCAGCGCACCTTCTCCCTGCCTCCCCCGCTGCCTGTGCCGGAGATGCAATCGTACATCTCGGGGCTGCGTGCTGGATACGGGCGGGCGCTGCTGATGGATACGAGCGGCAGAGTTTGCTCAGCGCTCCCGACTCAGGTGCAAGGTTTCCTAGAGCTCCTGCACGCCCCTTCAGCGCTTCTGTCTTCCTCCTCCCAGCCACTATGTAATTATGTAAAAGGAAATTAAGCGCTGAGAGGAGCCGTTATGAAAGGGAGCATCAAAGATTTCCCTTAAAGCAGGCAGAAACCAAAGGAAGATAGATACTGGTAGGAAGGCAGTGTGTTTAAAAATCAAATCAAATCTCTCCTGGCTCATCGTGTCTGTGTGAGCGTGGCTCGTCACAAGGTACAGGAAGAGGCCAGTTCTGCCTCTGAACAGGGACAGTATCAGCTGCATCACTGAGGGGTGCACGCTGGCGAAACGGGCCACAGCAGGGCTCATAAACCCAAGTACAGCCCATGCTAATATGTCCAGACTCCAGCTATTTCCATATGGTTCATGGAGTCTCTTATGGATTCATTTAGTGCTACAACAAGGTCAATTTACCATTTTATATGGCATACATCCCTCCTCCAAGCCTCAGCCCTCCCTGCTCTTAAGACTCCAATGCCAATCCCAGTGCAGAAAGCCAAGCCAGGCTCCAGTCCTCTCCAAATGGGCCAGCTAATGAATGTCTCCTTCTCCTATTTAAGGAGCTGTATAAAAAGAGTTACTGGAATGGCTATCAGCAAATTTTGCTTTTTCTCCTAGGTTCCGTGTTAGGATAGCCATTGAGGTAAGAAGAGTGAATAAACTAGAGGTCTTTACTCAAACCCAGAACATCTCCTGCAGAGATGTTTAGGAGCGTGGTGACAGAAAGGGCTGATCTTGCCTGCTGTGGTTGCTGTGAGTAGGGGAGCACTGTGAGGACTAGTAGAAGGGGATTCAATCATGGTAACGCTTAATTTCCTGGTTTCCATATCTGTTGGGTGGGCAGAAGAAAGAAAAGCCTCACCATGCTTTGCAAGAACCAGTTTACCCTGAGAGGTACCTGTTTGAAAGGGTTGGGTGGAACCTGTGTTTATTGCTCCATCAGTGCTCAAAGAACGGACCGGTTTCACCAATGGGCCCCTGCTCAGCCATGAGTTAACATCTCCTGCATGGTCTATCACCACCAGCAGCAGAAGTGCTGGAGCTGGAATTTGAGCTTCAGTAAAGCTTGGGGCAACCACCCCTGAGATTTCATGAAGGTCAGGATTTGTTCCTTCATCATATCCCCAGCACAAGACAGAGGAGATCTCAGCTTAGCTGCCATCACCCAATGACTCGGGAAGAGTAGAAAATAGCACGGAGAGAAAAGAAGAACTCAGCATACTCCATCGGGTGAGCAGACCTGATTTGGAAGGTGCACATTGAGAGCCTGAGCTGGAGTACTTTGTGCTGGGACAAATGGGTTGACATCAGGTCTTAAATATGCATGTGGAACAAGTTGGTGTTGGCATGCAGGCCCTTTGTAAGCCATTTATCTGCTACAACCACAGCTATGTGGTTCCAAAACCAAGTCAACGGAAGGTGAGGGAGGAAGGATGCCTCCAAAACATGGATCAGCCCATGTCCAAAGCAGCTGGGGAACCTAGACAGAACCTAGGTGATGTATTTAGACCTACCCTTAGGGTTTGGCAAAAGGAGGTGGTGGGACTCTGAAGAGGACGTAGCCCTGTCCCTCACTCACCGAGATTTAGGAGAGGATGGGATGAAATGGTGGCCATCTCTGTCAGATTCCTGGACAGCACTGGCCAGAGGAGTCCCCTGATTTAAATAACATGGTGTATTTGCATGGGGAAACGTAATATTAATGGCAACCAAAAAAGCCCAGCAACGCAGATCGTCATTTTGTAATCACTGCTAGCAGATAATCCACCTCACTTCTTGCAGAATAAACCATCCTTAACCCACTTCACCTTGCAGACGTGCCTGTTGCTCTGCACTGAATGGAAGGGAGCACATATAACCAGCTTACAGGAAACACCCAACTTCTAGGCAGTTAGAGAGGTGAGAGGGATTCCACTTTTTCAGCATAAATCTCCTCTTAAAGAGGTTTCCTTTTACTTAATTTTTTCATGTGGCTACTTTAAGACTTAATGAGATTTAGCCGAACCTCTAACGTCCATCCATTCATGTCATGAGTGCTTTACACAATGCTTTTGTGGAAATTTGCCTGCGTGAGGCTGCAGATTTCAACACAGGGTTTCCCCCCACAAAAAAGGACTGTATCCACCGCTGCTATGCCCATCTCCTCTGTAACCCTGCTGTTGATCTGAAAGAGATTTGCAGCGTAAGCCTTCATTATGCAAAGTCCTGTTGAAATCTCTGGGATTTTGCAAGGTGTCTGCACTCTCTGCAACCCGCAATAAGTAGTCTGAAGCTGCTCATATATTTAAGAAAAAGCAACATTAGCTTCAGCCTGTCTGGGGGGTCACTTTTTTAAGCAGTGATACACATTAGGCACTGAAAGGGATATTGGACATCTCAGCTACAGATATGTGTTGGCTGAAGGGTTCGCAAATGATGTAGCCAAATTTTGTTGTCTCTCCCAAAGCAAAGTCCTATCTGTTTCATCATGTCCTCACTCTTTCTGTACCATGTCTGGAGGCCATTTATGATCAGGGCTTGTCCTTTTTTGCAAGGGCACTCTAAGACGCTTTCCCCTGTCACTAACAGGCCTTTGTGGGGTATTGGAGGATGAGCAGCAGGGGTGGGTTAGCTGTTGTCCTCACTGCCCAGAGAAGGCGTTCCCCGTCAAGCTGAGTGGGTTCGGGATGAGCCAACCTCAAGTTAAACACTCCTGCACCTGAGTGAGAGGTTTTGTGTGTGGGTGGTAATGAGTTAAGTCTCATGTGGAGATAAATTTCTCAGTTAATTTTCCCCTGATGACAGGCTGATAGTTAACCAATAATACGCTGTGAATAATGGATATGCTGTGAACTACATGCTGTCTGAAATGTCCTGTTCAATATATTCATAGGGTAGGAAATATCCCAAGGCACCACAACTTGTTGAGGAATGGTTTGAGATCTAAAATCAAGGCCATATCTAAAGGACAACAAATGAGTGGATTACTTCTCACTCAGTCGTCTTCCCACTCAGGCCCCAAAGATCAAACTAAGCTTCTTAGCTGGGGCAACCAAGTTAGAAAGGGAGCCTTCAGCCTTTAGTTGCCCAAGGGTGTGATTTTCAAATCACATAACTGAACATAACTGAAGAGACTAAAACTCCCATGGCTCCACTG